CCCAATCAGCTGATTGTCACTGTTCACTTCAACCAATCTGATGCCACTTCACCCTCTGTCAAGTTCAACCAATCATCTCGTTGCTGTCGACTTTTAAAACTGTTCATCTCTGGGCTGCTTTCAGCTGTCATTCCAGTGCTGCCTTGACGCTCCCTCACCTCCAGCGTTGATCAGGTCCAGCCCTCCGCATTGTGATTCAGGGTCCAGGACCAGTGAGCTCATTCAATATTCTGCTCCATGTCTCATCCACCCACCCAAGATGTAGCTCCAGGAAGAGCTTCAAGTTGTGGCTTCAAGTTAATAATAATTTAGACTCTTTCTATAAAATCATCCCAATGATAACTTTTCTTTCAGTCTGTAATGACAAGAGAGTCTTTGGTTGAATAACTAGCAAATTATTATAAAAGTGACATAAGATCTGATGAAGTAGAACAAGTTTAGGTACACGAGAAATAACCAAATCCACAGTATACTTCTATTTAATCTCTGGGATTTTCTCATATCATTATAATTGAGCTTTTCCTGTTATCTCTAGCTGCGTTGGGCCTCCCTGTTTAGCTTTCTGCTGTTTTATTGCTTTTGCTATCAAAGCACTTTGTAAACTCTGTTTTTAAAGGTGGTATATAAATAAAGTTCTAATTATTTTATGTTATTTCTCAGGCATTAAACGTGGTAAAAATACTTCCCCACCTGTTTTTCCTAAATTTTCCATCACACTATAGTGATAACGAATTTCTAACGGTGTGATAGAGGATTTTATTCATACCGCCGACTCCTATTATCTATTGTGTTTACTTCATGGACACAAACCTGGCTTTGTAAGCGAGGACGTGCTGCGTCGCTTTGGGCCCCGGCCCACAGTGCTTATGTACACTACTTACCTCCTCAGGTGGCCGGCGTCCCTGCAGACCTTCAGGTGTTTGCAGTCCAACAAGAACTGCAAACCCCTCATGAGGATGCTTTGCCAGCTCTTTGCTGCCAAACACAATTAATACTTAAAATCAGTCTAACTACAGAACGTATACGCGCTGACCCAACCTCTTCTCATACCCCAAAAACAAACTTTGCTCAAATAATTTTCCACTGTGCAGATAATTGCCGTCTGTGTGAAGCAATTCTTTCTTTTTTGGTCAAGGTCACTCGAGGAGAGAGGAGATCTCATCTAACCTGGCATGAGCCTGAAATGTGCTGGCATTTCAGATCAAACGCACTGATCAGGCCCACTGGTTTCGCCAACTAATGGGCCAGCGATACCACTGCTGGACCTAACGGCAGGATCATCTTTGGCCAAGACATTTTTCTTTGAGTGAACAGAATTAAATGGCAAAGTTTGTTGGAAGAATCCCATGAATACATTTCCAAAAGAAGAGAGAGACTTCCCCTCTTTACCTTTCCTCTCACCTGTAGGGTCTGAGTATTTGATGTGGCACAGCCCGCTTAGTGGGCGAAAATACCTTCTGGGCATTCACTGCTGGAGAGAGAAAGACGCAGAGACGCTGAATTAAACAGTAAGATGCTCCATGTGTCACACTCCACGGAAATCGTCAGCTTAATATCCTGTGCCCAGACACCCCAGAGAGCAGTGTAAAGCAATTATTCCAACACTTGCCATTCATTCAGGCTAAAAATGCATGCAATTCTCCTAGCATACCGAAATGCAGTAAACAAAAAACATTGTGCAAAACATGATTTGGTACCTGCCAAACTAATAATCCTCAAAGAAACAGAAATCTCTTTCCTTCTAGTTTTAATACTCCATAGTTTTTGGTTCCTCAGATGTCATTCCAAGAGCCTGCAGGCAAATGTTTCTGGAGCTGTTAGTGCAGCACTGGCACCCTGGATGTAGAGTACATTTTAGGATCTTTTATGTATATCTAAAATAAAGACCGTGGAGATGTTATTGCGATAAAAAAACCCTGCATGAACATGTCCCCAAGCACTGTGGCCATACATGTGCTGTCAATGCAAATCCCCCCTGGTGCCGGCCCACTGGCTGACTAAATGTGAGGTGTAGCTGCTGTGGCGCTCAATAGGAGGAGCTGTTGACTCATCACATCGTGTCAATGAGCTTTTGTTTGAGCTTCATCTAGATACATTGAGCTTCATCAGCCGAGGACCGTCCAACCTCTTCAACCGCAAACCTGTCGGTCCACGGCCAACGTGTGGACAAGCTTACAAAGCGATGTCCCCTGTGTGTGTTCTCCTAATCCACTTTCTGTAGTGATTGCTTTCTTATTATGGACCACTCGCACGGCCAGCATCCTCTCACCTGCTCGCTCAAGGGAGGCCATAATCATAATTAAGTAGATGCCTTCAGGAAGCAACATGAGAGGAAAAGGTAATTAAGGGTTATCTCGAGCATCGTGATATCACCCGAAAGTACCCGGTTATCTCCTCACGTCCAATTATACCCCTTAAGCGACTCATTCTAAGAAAATGACACTTGTGCCGTTACATTTAAAACCCAGGCTCGGTGTTTGCTGAAGCTTGACATCAGCAGATGCCCAAGGACATCTTCAAACATCTCTCCCAGTGACGTCACAAGGTGGGAGCCGTCCTCCGCTGAGGTAAATCACACCCCCGGATGGCTTTGGCTTGCATACACCTTGAATTGAACTAATGAGGAGGCTCCTCGCTGTGTCGCAGCGATGAGAAGACAACAGTGAATGGAGAGCGGCATTCACCAGGGACTGCTGCTGGATTTAATTAGTCTGTGTTTACCTCCTTGTGTGACGCCTGAGCATCTGATGCACAACCACAGGCGCGTTTGTGTGCGTGTGCGCGCGCACACAAACGCCTGTAAAAGAGATAAATTTGTGAGTGCCCGCAGTCAATCAGTGCGTAGGAACGGCAACTCAGTTGGGAGGAAACGCGAGGCAGAAAGCAGCTTCTGAAAGAAAATAACGTGCATATTAGTGTTTTGTTTATGTCAGGGGGAGCAAGAGAGAAAGCTAATGAGTGAGAGAGGAGAGGCTGCTGTGAGGTGTGCTGGAGTTAGTCATCAGGGGTGTTCGGCTGAGATCTTACAGTGTGTGGAGAGGAAGTGTAGTGATGCACAACTCCACACAGGAAGCATCTCTCACCATCCCACGTGCGCCATCAAGCAGGCAGAAGCTGAAACGTGTGGATTTGCAGTTCCCCATCCATCAGAAACATCACCATCGTCGTAAGAAAAGTGGGAGTAAGAAGTGGAAAATGTCTAATAAGAGAGAGACAGACCTGATCTTGAGTATTGCCAACATGTAAAAGAAATAATGCACTGCATTACAGCACGAGCAGTCACTCTCTTTCCTAAACACGCTTGACAGCAGCCTACAAACAAAGCTGTTTGGAGGTTACATACTGTATTTAACATGCAAACAACGCCACTCCCAAGACAGATCACGGTTTCCTTTTCACCCATGAAACCCTCCTCCCGTTCAAACCGATGCCATTAATAATGGATACATGCACGGGGAATGAAAAACCTCCTCGAAACTTGGAGGCAAAACATACTCATTCCCCATTATTAATTCAGGTACAAGGAGTAGCACGCTGACAAGTGCATGAACGCCAATTTCTCAAATGCAATGCCTGTAGGAGATGGAGGAGGCTGACGAGCGCAAATCATGTGTAATAATAAACCTTTGTTTCTCAGAGGGACAAGGGAGGAGAGCACGCCGCCAAATAACCCAGCGGAGGCGCATTAAGAACGCTCGACTGGGCTTCTGGGAGGAACCTCCAGTGCTGGCAGCAAGAGCTCTCTATCTGGCAGAGATGGAGAAGAAAACTCCCCTCTGAAGTGTTGTACAACCACCTAATATATGGATCTTGGAGAGTAGCACGCACACACACACACACACACACACACACACGTTGTGTACCCGTCATGGTATAGCAACAGCACACAACAACTGCCTCACACCAATTAGACATCATTACATGATCCCCCCCTAGGTGTGTTTCCCAGTAAGGTGAGACACTGCTGTGCTTCAGCCCGGCTTCATTTGCTTTTGAAAGACACAAATGGCCTTATGAAAGGTTTCTATAATCAGCCTTGAGTGAAGCTACTCTAAGAGGAGAAAAGGGTAGAACATAAAATAATGCCCTTCAAGCAAGAACGGGCGCCAACGGAGAAGGAGGCCATTTGTCTTGGTGCAGGTGCATTTGTGTGCGTCTCTCAGGACTGATAGTGATGCTTGGCAGGTTTGTAGAAAGGCACTAGAACACCACACACACACACACACGCACACGCACACGCACACGCACACGCACACATTTTACAACCAGACCCTCCGAGCATCGGATACACATGTTTAAAATATGACTTCAAACTTTTTTTAATATATTCAAACGTCTTTTTATAATCAAAAATATCATCCAAGCATTTACAGTGTATTACAACAAATGATTCTATGCGACAGCCTTTACAGAAAATGAAGAAATATATCCATTTTTAGATCTATTTTACAAACCAGGAAGGGCAAAAAGAGAAGAGCGGGAGGCCGGAGGGTTCGGAGGTTCAAGTGTTCAGTTAGACCCTGATAAGCCTCCTCGGCTCCGGTAGTCCTGGCTGCTCACACTGACACCATACAGAGCCAACTGCAGGCTCAGAAAGCACGACACCCTGCCCATGTGGGCCGTTACTACATAATAATCCAGTGACTGTTGGAGTCGGCAGTCTTCCGTAACTCCTGGAGAGTCGTTACGTCTAAAAATATTTTGCAGACACCGCGTTCAAGCTCATGAAGATTTCTGCCACTGCGGTTTTGGTGTCAACATTCACGTAACCATGAAAATGCTGCATTTTTTTACATCTCTGCCACCTTACGGAGTCCCTGAAATGCTGTTACATTCCCTCCTCATCTTGAGATCTGTGCTCAGTCTTCCATGTCCCTGTACAATCAGGTACAGTCCACCGTCTCTGATGTTTGTGGGCTTTATACTGTGTCTTTCGCGTCTTTACAGTGTCCCCGTGTTGTCTCGTGTCTTCCATGTCCCAGGAGCGGCAGCGGCAGGGTCTACGTGCTCTTGATGCCCTGGAAGCCGCAGAAGTTCCAGCGTTTCTCCAGACTGGCTCCGACGCCGGTCAGCTCCTGTCTGAAGGTGCAGGGCAGCCGGGAAAGAAGAGCCTCCACCTCACCGGTGTTAATCTGAGGAAACACACACACACACACACACACACACACACACACACACCAGCATTAGACAAAGAACAAGACACTGCTCTGGTCTGCAGAGTGTCACCAGTGACCTGGCTGCCGATGCAGCGTCTCAATTCAATTTTTTGTTCATCCTCCAATCTTGTTTTTTGACAGAATGGACCACGGTGTTTTAATGGACCTTTGAGAAATGTTGTTGGCATTCGTGATGTGAATCTTGAGCTCTAGCTGCTGGGTGTCTGCTACACTCGAACATATCACCTCTGCAGCCATCTCCTGTGTTATCAGACATACCTCTGTGAACCACACGAGCCCGAATGTTTAGCCAATATCAAAATGTGAGGCCTTAAAAAAAAACGTCTGCATGTTAATGGAACAGTGTGTAGGATTTAGAGGGATTTATTCGCAAAAATGGAGCATAATATTCATAACTGCGTTTACATAAGTGCATAATCACCTGAAACTAAGAATCGTTGTGTTTTCGTTATCTTTGAAATGAGATTAGGTTTATATCTCCTGTACATACGGAGCGGGTCCTCTTCACGGAGTCCGCCATGTTGCACTGCCATGTTTCTGCAGTAGCCCGGAATGGTCAAACCTAACGCCAGATCTAGAAAGAGCCTTTTGCCACCGCATTTCACCGACACGCTTAGAAAGGGACGAGTGAGCGAAGAGCTATTCAGTTGGATGCAATCTGCAACCTCACCACTAGATGCCACTAAATCCTACACATTGCTGCTTTAAGATGAGGCGTGCTACTTTAAATGCTGTCTTCTTGCTAAGTCACAAATGTTTACCTAAAGTTTACATTTTTTCCATAAAGTATAGATAGGAGGGCATGTTGCTATGATAAGAATGCCTGTTCATGTTTTGACTTATCTTTGGACATTGCTCATCCATCCAAACTTTATTCTTTTACACACAACACCTCCTCTCTACTCTCACTCGCACCCCGACTGCAAATAATCATAGTGCAACTACGTTTATAGCGACAGTGTGACAGCATAGCTGCCACCTGACTAAGCGTAATCTGGCTCACACCACTCGGGTGGGCCGAGGATCATCAGTCAACTGAAATCCTGAGGTGACATTGCCAAAATCCACTGTACGAGCTGCTGTAGGCGCCCCGCACTGTCTTGCATTAATAACTGGGTTGTTGGAGCCCGGTGCTGATGTCAGGACGCATTAAGGCCCATCACGGAGATAGGACTGGTGTGACATCACAGACAATGGAGCTGTGCGTGGAGCCGGTAGATAACCAGAGAGGATCGGGCTTGTTGTGGGAGAGTCTAGTCAGTGAAATTGACAAAACTCTGTGGGCTGCTTGATGTGTGTAGCGGAGAGTCGATGTGAGAACAACAGACGCACGAGCAAAACTCATACGCACACAGAAAGACAAGAGTGGGCGTACGATTTCTCACACACACAAGTGTATCAACACATGAACGCACATACACACACGACAAAAAAACCCCAAAAGGCATGAGAGGAGACGGTCACTCTATTCTTTGCATGTGTGAGGATGAGTCAGGGTGGTGATGAGCGTATCCAAAGAGCTGCTACAGAGAACACTCACTTCTTGGGGCAACCTTTATGGACGCAGAGACAAAGTTTTTTGAGAGAATAATTAATTCTTGAGAAGTTTACGTGGCTTGAAATGTGTTTAGTGTGTCTTCTGTCTGGCCGGTGACCGTGACTGTAAAGGGAGCGGTGACATCTGACAATTTCTTTTTCTGAAGGACTCCATCCATTAAAGAGGCCATTAATCTCAGTGTTACCGTTTGGAGGTGACATTGAGGGTCGGCCTTTTGAAAGCCTCGTGTGAGTGACGGTGAAGAGCGATAATACGTCCAGAAAGACGGGGATGAAATGGCAGCGCTTCGGCCAGACAGAGTGGAAACTAAGGACGGTGTTTGGCTTCGAGTGTCAGAATGAAGGATCTACTTTTAATATGTTCCGGCGTCAGGGGAAATCACACAACAAGCCACATATGGCTAGACGTATAGCTACGACATTTCAGGAGAGAAGAGTGAGAGAAACCTTCTCCGACATTTAACTTCCCCAAAACAAAGCGTTCTACTTGCAACCAAACATTAATTCAGAGATGTCCAATTGTCTCTGATGCCGTTTGTGAAAGTGTTTTTCTGTGACTGACTCGAATTGTTCTTTTTCGCTCTGCATGTTTCCTCTGTTGTACTCAGGTCCAGGGATGAGGTTTGATACCCTTTCATCAAATTACAATCCAGTATCGGATCCATTTATCAAATAAGAGTCCTTTGTCTGAACACCTTTTCCTGGCTGAGAAGGCAGCGACACAACAGTTGGTAGCGTTTACCTTTTGAATGTTCACAGCTGCAGCCGTCAGTTCTTTACTACCGACTCCAAATACTGAAGGGTAAATTGGTGCAAGGTTATCCGCCAGATCATTTCTCCAGAGAACAGTTGCCTCTCAGTCAACTGGCAAACGAATAGCGGTGTTAAGAAATGACTTTTCACTCACAAACGATCTCTGGCTGAATACAGACACCAGCTGCAGAGAGCATATTAACCAGAGAACAGCCAGACTTTTTATATTCTAGCCGTTACAGAATTATCTCTATTCATCTGCAGCTGATCTAATCTGCCACAGGTGTCATTTCAACCAGTGGCAGTCAGGTAAAAGAAGGCTACTACTTTATGTTTTCCAGGGCTTTTTGCTAATAAGAAAGGTTTGATACGAGATTTGTTAGCGCTGGAGTTTAACAGATCTGGGTATTAGCTGAACCGATCCCTAATCAGGCCTCTCTTGCAAATAAAATCTTAACCTCAAAGAGATTACCACAAAAAAGGTACACAATCTCTATCTAGCCAATCCTATTCTGATTGCTAAAAGGGATACTTTGACATTTTGGCAGAGAGTTAGATGATAATATCGATACTGCTCTCCAAAATATCAAACCACTCCTTTTAAGTGCACCTTAAGATGTCTCCTATAAACGCATCCACTTCAATGGAAATGGCTGAAAAAGCATGACCGAGCCCTCCTAATGCCCCGAGGGGCTGTGTGTCTCTTCTACACAGCAGGACCCTGGCACACAGCGAGCCCATATGTCAGCCCTGTGTGGGGGGCTGACACAGAGTCAGTATGGGTGTATCTGGTCCACAGGGACACCGAGGGCATGCTCTGCTAATCTACGCCAGAGTCTTGACTCATGCGTGCCGCTTACCTTGGTGTCCAAACGCTGCAGGTAGGAACAGATGTACTCGATGCTGGCTCCAAACGGATGGACGTGCAGGAACGTCGAAATGATCCCTGAAGGAGGAACAAACGAGTCATTGAAACATGTTTTAAAAGCAGAGACGCATCACAAACCTCCAATTTCTGTCGCCTGTCAAAAACAGACAAACGAATGTAGCCGCTGCTCTCCTCTGACGGAGTCCCGGTGCTGTTAAGAGCCTCTTGTATATTGTGGCTCCAGATTACAGGGAGTGTTTAATGACAGCTTTGGTGCCGTTGTCTCTCATCAAAAAGCCTTCCGCTGGCTCCGACACGAGGACGACGACACAGACAACACTTGAGGCTTTTAATTACTACGTCAAGGCTTCATTTTTGCCACCCGCAGGAGGTAAGTTGAAAGTCGAACACAAACAACGTGCAAGCCTGGAGCTGATCCACTGACAATGACTGCGAGTCTAATGGTCTGATTCAGATACAATACCAAGCAGATCTCGTGTTGATTTATTTGCATAAAATCGCCCACTGGAGTGGTTTTGCTGTCTGTGTTTATTTGCCTTCAAAGAGCTACTAGTACAAACGTTTGCTGTAACTACATGCACCCACTCCCTGTGTGCAGAATGACAGAATATGATTGAGTGTCAGAGCTCATATTAAGACTCAGATTCATGATCAATACATATTCAAATGAGACGATCATTCAAGCACTTTTAAAAGTCAACAGAAACTCAAATTGCTCCCCTTATTTTGCACCACATTTCCTCCGTTGTGTCTGACAACTCAGGATAAAGGCAAACTGTGACCATCAGATGTTTCTGAATCTGATGGGAATCCAAAGCTTATGCTTTTACATTGTCATGCAAATGTGAATCTCAACGATAGCAGAAGAGATTTCAACTTAAATTGCACCAGCAAGAGCAAATCTCTTGACTATTTCTACTGAATTTTTATGCATTCGTGGTTCACGCCGTATCTGAAGGCACCACGAGAATGTCCGCTTTCACACCTGCTGCCAGTTTTCAACAATGCCGTGGTAATCTGCTGAAGTGCCCTTAGCAAAGCCGAGCCGTAAGCCCCTTCTGACCCCCGTTCCTCAACCATTCTGTGAATATCGTATTATCTTAGCCCCTTCAAACACGCATCAAGTACAACGCCTGTAGCTCCAGAAAGCAACCAATAACCCCATGCCGGATTACTTCCCGCCCCGAGGTTTGTGCTGTGTCAATTACTTTATGGTACTTTTATGTAACACAGATTCATTTAGCAATATGCACCCACCTCCAGGCCTCTGTGTACTGGAAGTGAGAGGGGCTTGAGGCTGTGTCCGACAATTTGCAACAGACCATTATACAGTAATGCTCACTTTACACAGGAATTGCTCAGGTGTGCAAGTGACTGAGGGAGGGAAACCATACAGGAGCAGATTTGACTGTATCAGAGTTCCCTGGATGATACACCTCTGGCCTGGGACAATAAGCATGGATTAAGCTGCTAGGAAGCAATATGACCCATTAAAGGAGACGCTGTGGTGTTCAGACTGGTGGAATCAAAAGGTAGCCGGGAGTCGCCTCTAACCTGCTCCCGCCAATTCAAAATGGAGGCAACCGCCCAGTGTCTGAAAGCACCGTCCTCAATTCTCTGAGAGAGAGAGAGAGAGAGAGAGAGAGAGAGAGAGAGAGAGCGAGAGAGAGAGAGAGAGAGAGATGCCTGGAGGCAGCTAGAACAGCAGGGTGGCCATTTGAAGCAGGTATAAACACTTTAGACATGCTCAGATGAACCATGTAGCTGGTTTAAAGCACACTGAGGCTGAGAAGGTGCTTATCGTTTCAGGTTTTTCAACATCATTTTGGGATTGATATTGTGCCTATGCGTAGTTTATTCTTGAACAAATGTGCAATTAATCAAATTCCTACAAACCGAGTGCCACAGAAAACCTGTATCGCTACAAATCCTTCATAACAATAACGTGTAGCTACGACTACGGGGCAGTTCATAGGTGAGCTACAATTACCGACTCACGGGTGTAATCCACCGCCAACCAGTCAAATCTATGTCATCCCAAAATGCCACCGCTTTATCTTTTTATCCTATTAGACATTTGTGGGACATTAACTATACAATACCTAATTAGCATATGAATTCTTGAGTTATGGCAAAAAACAGTGACCTTTGACCACCAAATTGTAATCGGTTCATCCTTGTGTCCTGGTGGACGTTTGGGCATTTACAGAATTTACACCTAAGTGGTATTAGCGACGCAAGAGTCAGATTTGTGTCAGCGTACCGACGAGCAGAGCTTCCCTCTCGGAGTGGACGGGACTCGGTGGGTTCCTCTCTGTGGGGCCTTCCTTCTCCTGACTGCAGGACACCACGGTTGAAACAGTGGCTTCCTGCGCACACACGCACACACACACACACACACACACACACACACACACACACACACACAC